AAAAAAAAAAAGGATAAGGAATTGTATTATTGGTGGGATTGATGTCTGTTATTTCTAACTGGTTTTAATCTTTTCCACTTTTATTTTGGACGCTTCATTTCATTGTATTTTCTGTGATTGAACGGGAAGCCAACAGTTTTTTGTAGATGTTTTTTTGTCTTAACAAAAGTTCTGGTGTTAGTTTTGCTGAATGTACTTTTCGACATGGTTAAGTATCTTTACTTTATGGTTTTTGAAGTCTCTGGTTCGGCACTTTGTATTCTGTTTATTTGTTGATGGCTAGACCGTTATTTTACACCTGTTATCAATAACAGTCAATTTCAAAGTTGGACATGTTCTATTAGTAAGTTTAAAAGGATTGTCGAATTAGATTTGAAAATTGATTTACCCCAGGCTACGATGATATTTTTTTTCTTATAGCGAATAATAGCAAGTTTTTTTTCATCTTGAGAGGCCTTTTTCGAACGTTGATCTTCTTAAGCAACATTAAGAAGGGCTAAAAATCCGGAAACGATGAAGTGCAGGTTTGTTTGTATATGGTTATTTTAGTAGCAAATGATCTTGTTATTGTCTAGAATTTTACTGTTTGACTGTCAAGACTGGTCATTAACTAAACAGTAATTATTTTTTTTTGTTATGCTTTTGGTTATATAGTTTGGTTAAAGCAGAAGTGTTCCTTACTATTAAATCATTTCTTACAACTGAGACTAGCATTACCAGTGCGTGATTGTCTTGCAAGAAATTTTTAAATTGTTTCAGAATTAAAGTAACAACTGTGGTTTTATTTGCGCATATAACTTGTGAGGAGTTGGAAGATTTACCATGTTTATTGAACTGTAACAATCTGGCGGCACCTGCTTAAGAGTAAACTATAAATTTTCTCGGTTTGGGTGGAAAACAATTGATGTTCAACAATAGCATTACATCAACTCTTACATTTGACAATTTTTTGTTTTGGCATTTGCAAACATTAGTTTTTTTTTTTGCTGTTTAAATTGCTGTCATAAATTTGCATGTCAAAGTACAGTCTTTGTGATTTATAATAACTTTCCTCAGGTTTTAGATCATTTTAGAAGGTTGAGAATTTTAATAAATGGGAATGTCTCAGTATTGTTGTTTGTTCAAGTCGCGTAGGAGGGACTGTTTCAGATCAGACTTTTATAGTTCCTGTTGTTTTGTAATTGTATCGTTGTTTATATTGATGGCAAAAGAAAATTAAAAAGGTTTACATATTGTTTTTTTGTTTATAGAAATCAATAACTTAAATACTGCGGTATTTTCGTTGGCCAAATTTTGTTTACCGGTAAGATAATAAGTCGATACGTCACGTCATCAAATGTACTGTTGACGAACGCAGTTATAAGACGACTGGTAGATAGATTTTTTGCCAGAAGGTTACAGTTTGAAATAACTTTCAAAACTTATTTTTTCAGATGTCAAATACTTTTCTTTAGAGGGGGGGGGGGTATTTTTTACCTTCAATCATTAAAATTTTATCAAATGAAGGAATAAACAAAGAGGAAGTCTTTTGTACCATCTAAACTCTTTGAAGTGTTTATCCTGTCGTTGTTGGAAAAAAAAAGGAAGAAATTGGGTAGAATTAGTGTTTGTTTTTTTTCTGTTTTCCATAATTAATACTTGAAATTTAATACGGTTCATTGAACAGAACTGGATCATCTGTAAGGGGTTTTTTTTGCGATTAATTTGTTACTTTAAGGTTGATATTCTGTTTAGCAATGAAAGAAAGATGGTGTAGTCTAAATAATTTTGAAGTTTTAGAAACATTGATATTGGGAATAACAGCTGAAGCACGGATTTTAATAGTTGTCATCAGCGGTTGAAAGCAGTGGCTACCACTGGTCTGGTTGATTGATTTTATGTAGACTTTTTGATACACATTGTTTTTTGCAGACGATGGTGTTGTACACATTTGTAAGGAAGAAAAGGAAAGAAAGACTATTCTATTTCTTTTTCCGGGAAGTATTTCTTAGTTTCTCCCAGTGTCGCTGTAAAGAAGTTATAAGATTCTTTTTTTAAGTTGAGCTCCTCGTCTAATGTTATTTTTGAACAGCAATCGCTGTTATACGTGTAGAACTTCTCGTTTAACTGTTGTCTTATTATGTGAAGGTTGCTGAAAGAGTGGTACATAAGACAGATTTGTTGTTTTTTTATGTTTTTTTGGATTTGACTCTTTAAAAATATTGGTTTGATGGAAGAAAAAAGAAATGACATCCTACAATGAGTGTTTAATTTTGAATTAGAAAACAAACATTTGGTTGCTGTTAAACGGTATTTAAATTTGTTCAAGTTTAATTACCGTTTTTGTTATTTTGCATACAGTTCCGTGAAGCATTTTAGGCCAGTATAGTGTGATAATCGGTATAACAACTGGCTTTAGATGCACCAAATATTTGTGTGCAGTATTTGATAATCCAAAAAAAAAAAGTTTTTTTTTTTTTTTTTCGATCTAGATGTCATCATTGTAGATTGGTTAATTCTTCAATGACTTTTTGTTAAAATCTATTTTCTTTTGCTGTTTTTTTAATTCAAAAATTTACTGCCGCTTTTTTGATAGCGGCCATTTTTGATAGCGGCCAATCTTTCTTTGCAACATTTCTTGATTATGGTCTCTGAACTTCACTGCAGAAACTTAAGGAAGCTGAATGTCCTTATTGGTCTGGTTTTCTTGGTTGTTGCAAAATTACGTTATTTAAACTTTGCAAAGTTTGGTTTTTAAAGCCTTTTCGCAAAGCTAAAATTTATAAAGTTTTCTCGCGATATACCTGTGGCTGTAACTTCTTGAATCTTTGATACTGGAACAATCGAATTATTTCCCAGAAAATTTGAGATTGTTGGAAAGGTTGTTTTTTTTTGTTTAGCATTGAAATGTTCATTTATTCATTTGTTTTTAAGGGAGTGGTTCTAGGGTCTGAGTGGTGAGAAAAGACTTAAAGTTTAGCAGGTTTCGCAGAAGCGTTTCTTAATAAAATTAAGCAACAATTATGATCAGATCTCATATGCATTGCATTGGGTGTATCTTTATATCAGTCACTCATTAACGATGAACACGTTTGCCTACTGTGTTGTTTGATTTAAAGAGCAGAAACAAAATGGTTAATACTTGTCTAACAGAGCTGTTTTTCCAGAATGTTTATTGCTGATCGGCCACTGCCAGCACCACCGGCTCCTCCAAAACCAAGAAATTTATCCCTTGCCGCTAAGCTACCTACTTATCGACGTAGACCTACACCATCAGGTTGGCGCTATCAAAACTCTTCAAATTGTCTTCTATTTCACTGTTATTACGAAATCAGAGACTAACTTGATAACAGTGACAGAAGTTTAGTTTACAGGAGACATTCCGCATCTAGGGATATTACTGCTTATTCTGGTAATTTTTTGATATCGCGCATCTGCCCGTCTTTTTCGCTTTCTCATCCTGTAGGCCAATCTTTCTTTTAACAGTTGTGCTTAACAGCTATTTATTAGATCGTAGGGTCCGACGGACTTTTCACAACATTACTGGCCTTCCTTCGTGCTTTTTTTTTTTCTGTATCAAAAAAGTTCTGAACCATTTTGCAAATTTATGTTTAAAATATTTGTTTTTTATGATCTTTAGATCTTTAAATTGCATCTGTCCTTATCTAATTCTCCTGTCCTGTAATACCTCATGATGAATCGTGTAAACCTTGGGGCTTTTTAGCGAAATGGTTGTTTGTTTTACCTTTTCCTCTCTTTTTTTTTCTTGATGAAATTTGTTGCTTCAAGAAATTTTTTTGCTGAGCGTGTAGCTCTTGGTATTACATTTTTAAAATAATTCAGAAGCGTCTATCGACTCTTTGGTTTAGGTAGGTAAATTATTGTTCAGTTTTTCAAAAATTGCTTCACTCTTGATAGTCTTTGTGAAGTAATATGGGATGAGATTCAAAAAACTTTTCTGTCGGAGAGCTTAAACTTCCTCTTTGCTACAGTTGCTATTTCTTCCTCACTAGGAAGTCTTTGATTTTCAACGCGTTTGAAGTTATCTCGTTCTTTCCCTTTTCATTTGGCCTTTTGACCCTAACGAATGCAGGTGCGTGGGAAAGTGAAGTCTAGAGTAAAGTCATTGACTCGATTTCTCAGATTGTTTTTTGGCTATAATTTTCACCGTTACTGTTTCTTCATTGTCATTTGTAATTTCCAGGCTACTAGCTGTGTTCATACTGTATGTAAACGAATATAGAAGTTTTTGAGTCATTGAATGTTTCGAGTTTCTTTAAGTGGTTAAATTTTGTTGCAATCGCTGTTTAATATTCAGGGAAGAGACTTACAAGTGTTTGTCATTGTTGTAGGTTTGAATAATTCGAACGCATTAAATGTAGCTCGGACACTGTTTGATGTTGCCAAGCAGCCTGCTACTGCTAAGATCGCTACTGCAGTAAGTCAGGACCCGTCTGTACGCTCGGCTGTTGTTTCCGCTGGTAGGAATGAGCAGGTAGAATTACTCTTTTGTTTTTTAGTTGTAGCTTCAGGGGGACCTCACCTAGTTTGGTTATACGATAGTTGTTCGAAATTAATTTCTGAGATGTATAAGAAATTTATTTCTGCAAATTCTACTCGATAAGGTAGTTTAAGTTTTTTAAGGTTCGGTCTACTGCAATTAAGGCGGCTCGCGATGAAAATGCTCGCCGGACTATTGCTGAAATGGCCAAGTTGTATGATGCTCAAAGTTCTAAGAATGCATCAAATTCGTATAGTTATGGTACTTCGAACACGAAGGATATGGAAAATTTTTTATATGGTACGAAGTCGCTTTATTCGCCAAGTGACAGTGCTACCTATGCTACGAATACTAACAGAAAGTCACTGTATCCGAATTTAACTAGCAACAGCGGTATCGATGAAGATTTTTCAAAAGTTTTTGCTTCTGAAGCAGCTAACAAGCAACAGTTTCGTGGTACTCGTTCTTCGGAGTTTGAAAACCTCTGTAACCAATTGGCTTCAGCCAACTTGTTTGGCCCCCCCATAAGTTTGTTTTTGTGTTTTGTTTAAAAGATGTACAGTTAAGAATACTCTTCGGCAGTCACGAAGCACAAAAGTGTCTACATTTACTAATTATCGCAAACACCGTATCGTAACAGCGATGATTCGGAATTTAGAAAAACAGCCTCCAATTCGCCCTCCACCTCCGAAGGTTAAACAGCGAAGTTGCTCCACCATTCCATCTCCTAGCCCGACAAATGAGCCTCATGCAATTGTTCGATATCCTTATAAAGCGGCTCATGTTGACGAACTGACCTGTGAGCCTGATGACGTTGTTATCCTGAAAAAAGAAGTATTTTTTGTCTTTTGCTCACTCGTTATGATTTTTTGAAGGTGTTTTTCACTTATATTTTTTTTTTGTCTTTTATCAGGTTGACGACCAGTGGATTTATGCTTTAAATACAAGGACTGGTGGAAGCGGCATTGTCCCAATTGTCTTCCTCAACATAAAAGTTCCACTAGTCCCTACACAGAAAACAGATTTCGTTAGTAACGCCATTCCTTCTTATTCGAGGTAAACTTTCACTTATTTTCAATATCGCTCTTCAGAAAAAACTGATGTAGTTCTTTGTGATATTTTTTGCCATTTGCTGAAACATGGCTACTTATAATGCTTCACTTTCTCGCCTATGTGCGTTTTGGTAGAAAAGTCAATTTTAATTTGTTGAATATCTGTAATTCCTACTCTTCTCACAAGGGGTGCTTAAGGATGTGATCCCACTGCCAGTTTTCACTTTATTCTATATTTGTAAACAGAAGTTTATGTTTGATTCGGTTTTAGTCAACAGTGTTATGTTCGAGCTCTTTACGATTATAATTCCAGTATAAGCGGCGACTTGCAGGTAAATATTTAGCATGTTTTTAAAATTTGGTTTTAAAAAATTTTATGCTTCTGTCTTAGTTTACTTGTCATATTTCATCAACATATTGGTTTAGTTTGTGACTGGTGATTTAATTCGAGTGGTCGAGAGAGTTAATGACGACTGGTTGCGAGGAGCAGTAGGGACAAAGGAGGGGATATTTCCTCTGAATTTTGTTGAAATTTATAGTGGTGTCTTGCCCACAATTGCGACCTCGTTGGGCAGTGAAGGGCGAAAGAGTTTTACTGGTGGTGCTTCAGTTCAGCAAAAAGTAGTATTTCCCGGATTCAGTCTCGTCACACCAACAGTTTCTTCGAAGGAATTAGGAACAGCTGTTGCTACATATGATTACAACAGTCAGGTTCCAGAGGATTTGGTATTTTCTGCAGGAGATATTATTGAAATTATTGAATGGGTGAACGATGAGTGGTTTAGAGGACGGTTACGTGGTTCCGTTGGGCTTGTTCCTTGTACTTATGTTTCTCAGATGCCTGCACAGAATCGTACAGGAGACTTGCTATGAGTTTCATTTTGTTTTTTCTTGAGTACTTATTATTAGTGAAATAGATATAGAGACATCAAGTTTCTGTCGTTTTAGAGCTCTACTTTAAAGTGGGTTATTTAGAGTAATAGATTTCAAAGTTGTATTTAATGTTTATTCTGTCGTTGCAAGAAATTGTCTTCTTGTGGAAGTTCTTATCGTTCTTCTGTATTTTTT